AATTTGCATGATAAACGTTTCCCTTTCTCTATTCCATATCCCTTAGAGAGCAAACGCTTTAATCGAGTCGAGCTAGGTACTCGAAATATAAGCATAGCCTGGGCTTGGGCATAGCTCGACAATTTGTAAAGCTGTTGCTATAACCAACACAAACACTTTTTGCTTTAAATGCCTCTTCTCACTGCACTTCTACTCGACACAAAAAAATAGACTTTGCCAACTGTCAGCCATAACGAGTGTAAATAAATTCAAGTGGGCTTAAATTTTCCACATTTTGCGCCCCCAATTGCCTTCGTTTCCCGAGCCACTGCCCACCACCTTCGTCACCATTCAACGATTGCCGCAGGCTGATGCTCTAAATATTCAATAACCGCCCGTCCAGCACCAAATTCATGCAAAAATAACAGAAAAAAAGAAGTGGTATGAATGCCAACGGCGGCAACAACAACAACAACTGGGAGAAAAATTACATAAGAACCTCAAATCTGAAACTAAGCAAAATGAATTCTATGTATTTAACATTTGGGTAAAATATCAGCATAAAATATAGAAATCAGCGATGCTCGACCTCAGCGAGGCTGAGCTCGGGGAGATGGCCTGGCTGCTGCCTTTTTGTGACGTACGCGCTGCTGTCTACTTAGGAAAATGATAAATGTCCTTGTAAAGCCATGAAATGAATAAGTATGGCACGGTTATGTGGACCAAAGGCAAACAAGGACAATGTCCTTAGGAAACAGCAATACAACAACAACAAAGTCTTCCCAAAAAAAAAAAAAAAAAAAAAAAAATGGTAAAAAGAAAAAATCACAACAACGCCAACAAACAGTGGGGAATGGGCGTCTGCGTTTGAAGTGAAGTGCCAAGGCAACTTTGAGAAGGCTACTCCATATCAAAAGGACATGCAGACAAATGCCTCAAGTTGATGTCTATATGTGTGTGCTTGTGTGTGAATGCTGCGGGTGTGTACGTGTGTGTATGAGAGTCTGGCCAAGCCGCAGCCTACTATAAAAGAGGAATGTTGACAAAGTCACAGCAACTGCGAATTTTCGCTGCTGTTGTCATTCAGCGTGCTGTCAGCTATTGCTGCTGCCCAAAAGCATTTGCAGCAAACGCTACTCCCCTACCTCTCCCCCCTCCCCCGTGCTAGCGGCTTCGCGCTTTGGAATCTTTGTCATGTCAACAGTGGCGAAAGTTTTTCGCTGGCAGTAAAAACTACACAGCTTCAGTGTTTTTTTTTTTTTGTTTTTTTTGGTTTGAACCACGCTTTCTTTTTCGTGTTCTTATTTTAGGGGCCACCATTGTTGACCATCACTCCTGTTCTGTTCGGTCCAGCCAGAACTTATTGCTGTTGCTCTGGCTCTGGCTCTGGCTATAGTTTTCATCTTTTCTTGTGTATTCTTGAGCTTTTGACTTGGCCAGCACGCGGCTTTCATGCTGAGTCTGTTTTGGCTAAGCTGATTTTTGTTTTGGATTCCCACTCGCTCCTTCTCCGGCATCGCCCAATGCATGTTATATATGTACATACATGTGTATATATCGCTCTCTCTCTTTCTGGTGGCATGCCTGTCTGTCTATGCGGCTTGTGGATTTGTTTGTGTGTTTGGGGCGTGCGTATATTTTAGGGCGTCTGTCATGTGATGCCTTCGCCTTTTTGCTTCCCCTTAAGTTGTAGTTGTAGGCGTTGCTGCTATTGTTGTGGCTGGTGTTGTTCCTATTGTAGTTCTGTGGCTTGGTCAATTTTATGTGCAAATCGTTTGGGTTGTATTATCTATCAATAATATTTTGATGTGTCTGTGTTTACGGCACAACAATACCTTGTAAATGCCCGAAAACTATTTTAGGCTCTGTGGTATTTACTACAAAGTCTGAAGCATGTTACTACACAGTGGTTAGAGGTGAGTGAGGTAATCGATATTTTAAAATGGATTGAACAACTTACCAGACAAAATACCCCAAAGCAAGACTGAAAAAATACAAAATAAATAAAATAAAACATTAAAAAGAAGAATAAACAAAAGTAAATAGGCCAACAAAATTCAAAAATTCTTCATTTCAACAACATAGCTTAACAAATTAAACCATTAAATAGAATAATAAAAAAAAGTTAAATAGGACAAAATTCTAAATTCTTCATTTCAATAAAATATATATGGTATATGTACGTACAGCCATTACAAACTGTGAAAAGGCTTAGAAAAACATAAAAATAAACTAATGACCTATTTCTATTTATTTTGAGCCATGAATCAGAATGCTGTTGACTTACTAAGCTACACTTGACTGCTTTCCGAGTGTATTCCCTCAGCTTTACTTTTGCATTGATTGATGATATTCAAAAGATGTGTAGCTCTGTAACGTGCATTGTTATAGGGTCACATGCATCACAAGAGCAAAAAGAGGAAGAAATTCGAACCCGCTGCTACTGTAACTTATTAGTACCGGCGTAAGCTTGTTTCGCTAGTTACTTATTTTAAGAGGAACCAATTGGCAACAAATTTCAAATTTATTTAGCTTTAGAACTAGAAAAGGGTAGAGTTCTCATTTCTGAAAACTAAACATTCATCCAGACAAACAGATGAATAGATGGACGGACTGTCATCCATGTCTAGATCGATTTGTCTCTTCATCTTGATTAAGAATATACAAGTATATATGCACATCCATCAGAAGTATAGGTAAAGGCACTATGGTGCAAAATGTTCAATATGAGAACTTGTTTATCTGATTTATACGCCGTCGTGGCCTTGAATGGGCAACTGATATGTATATGCAAATTCAAATCTGCAGAAAGCTTCGTTAAATCTGCAAACTTTTAGAAGCCCTCAACATTTTATGTAGATGGAATGTCCCACATATGGGTGAGAGCTTGCAAACTTTTCAATGTTGGGGAGCACCAAAAACTTAACTCATCAGATATGCCCTTAAATACGTAAAGCCGTGCAGTAACTGCTAACACAACAACAAGAACAACATAGTACATCGAGAAACAGCAACAAATGCAAACTTTACCAAACACATGGAATGCAAGAACAACAACAGCGAGAACAACGACAACAACAATAAAGTGGACGACCAACCAAACATAATTCTAAAGTTTTTGCCCAAAATGTTGAGTACGTTGTTCTCATAGAAATACGATAAATGCTTCGAAGGCTATCCGGCTAAGCAAGTCAGTGGAAAGGAAGCGGTTTGCTTGCAGTTCCAAGTTAACTTGGAAAACATTTAAATGCCAAAGTGAAAAGTTTTCGCTGCGAGCGCCAACAACGATATTCAATTGAAAACACATAAAATCTAAATTTGTTAAAACCATAAAACCAACCAAACAGACATATGCATAAGCTTTAAAATGAAGCGCGCTCTAAATTTTGTGTTTCCTTTTTTAGTCGCATGCTGTGGCCACAAAACTTTCGTATTAAAACGTTGTGCAAGCAAGTGGAACAATATGCGAGGGGCAGAGATGGCATAGATATGGGTGTGGTAGGGGAGGGGGAAAGAGGCAGAGGGAAAGGGGCATGCCTGACTTGCGCAAAAGTTGTGAGCCAAGTGGCATGCGAGTGGTCGAGAGGATCTTGTCTGGCTAAATTAGTTAGCACCAAGTCTAAGCGAGATGTGTTGTTGCAGTTTCTCTTGCGGTTGCTGTTGCTGTTGCTGTTTTTGTTACACATACGCCATGTTGACCCCACTAAAAAGTTGAAAATGTGAAAGCGGGGCAGAATGGGCGTCTTCGCAGCTTATTTTAACATGCTAATTGGACGCATATCAGGCACAATTAACGCCTAGTTTAGCTAACCTCGACCAAGTTTAGTATTTTATAGCACAGATTTGTTCGCTCCATCTCGCCGGCACTTATTGTTCAATTTTTGCGTGGCAAGTCTAAATAGCTATACAAAAGTTTCCTAAAACTTTCGTGGCTGACTTTTTGTTGGTCCGATTTATTAGCAACATATTATTATATTTGGGCGAAAGTGATGGCCAAGCAAAACTTTTATTTTGTTTTTCGTATCGTGTTTCTTTTTCTTTGTTTTTTGTTGACTGCTTGGTTTCATTGTTTTCTTGTTGTTGTTGTTGCTATTGGCAGTGACCAGCTGACGTTGGTCAATAACTCAGCCACATTACAGCTAAGAACACACTTTAACTCAAACAACAGCATGCGTTAAAAGCCATCGAAGCCAACAGCTGTTGTTGACCAACGCAAACAACAGCAACAACAACAATCGGCCATTAGCGCTTGCCAAACTGCGTCTTGTTGTTGTTGTTGTCGACGAGTTTTCCATTTTTTTTGGCACGTTGTTTTTTTTTTGTTTTGTGTTTCAGTGTTTTTCTTGCGCTAAAAGTTGCGTGACTTTTGTTTTCAGCAAAGTGCAATAGCCTGTTAGCAGCAAAAACAAGCAAGCAAACAAACCCAGCTACACACACTTTCCTCTATATTTATTTATTTATTTTTTTTCATTTTATTTTTATTTTAGTTAAGTTGAGAGATTTTGTCGTTGCGGGCGCCATAAAAATCAATTTCAAATCCATAACAATTTGGCATCATTTAAAATTGATTAAATTTGCACATAAAGTTCGTCAAGAGCGTACGAAAATTTCATTTATGCTGCCACCAGACACGAAGGACAAAGACATGAACATTACCACACACAAAGGCGCACGCAATTTCTTTACACACAATAAAGTTTATGTTGATTGAATAAAAGTTGCGTCACACACGCACACAATCAAATGCACGAAAAACTCTTGGCCAGGCTGGAAAAACTTTTCACTTTAAATTAAATTGCAGAGCACACATACATACATATATACGCCGAGCTTGCCGAACACATACACAAAGGAGGTAGAAAACTGGCGCAAAATTTGCCGCCAGGCTAGAGCGTTGAATCAATTTTAAGCAGCGCCCAAAAGTAGACTTCAGAAATGAGTGAAGAGACAAAAATGCCGGCACCAGCAGCACACCTTAGGCACAAAACAAAAAAGAGTTAAAAATTAGTCAAAACACTTACCGTTCTCCTCCTCGATGTTGCGTGTCATGGTCGTCGAGCTGCTGACACGAGCACGTGTAGCCGCCGTCGCTGCGTTGCCATTGAGTGTTATAAGCAGCGTGAGCAGAAGGAGGCGCAGGATGAGCAACAAGAGGCAGTTGAGTGGCTGACGGCTTGTCAGCGACGCCTCAGCTCGTGTGGGGCACAACATTGCTCCTGCGTGTGTTTCTTGGTATGTATGTAGGTATTAGGGTATGTGTGTGTGTGTATGTATGTATGTGTGTGGATTGTCTTCTCTACACCTCTCGCTGCTGATAGTGCCAATGACAATGTCGTTTATCGCCAGTTGCTATAGCTTGTGTTTTTTGAAAGCTCTACAGTTTCTTTTCTTCTTCCTTTTTCACACCGCAGGCAACATTTTGGAAATTGCTGATGTTGTCGTTGTAGTTGCGATTAGCAGCATATCTAATGGCGTTTTAATTTGTATTTTGCTGCAATTGGCACGCGACAGTACAAGCAAATGTGTTCAGGGAAGCTAGGAGACTGTGAATGAGAAATAAAGAGAGAGGCAGAGGCATTGTCAGCAAATTCGTTAAAATGCATATAAATAATATGCAATTTATAATTGAATGTTTTTCTATATTCTGCAATATTTCAGTTTCCATAGCCACTGTTGTTGGTTGGTGGCTCTGCTTGCTATTGTCACTATTGAAATTTATTTAATTGCCCTTATTTTTGGTTTTGCAAATTGTGTGGGCCTGCAACGCCAGCACCAACACACGCATTGTGATTTATGTGATTTTTACGAATTTTATTGGGTTAATTTGTTTATTTTATATTTATTGCAGTTTGATTTTTCCGTGTTATTTATGTGCTTCAAATTGTTAATTTATGTTTTTTTACAGCAATACATAGATATTTTCCAAAACGAGATGCATAACAAAGCATTGCAAAAGCATATTACATATATATATTGTATGTACTTATATGTACTATATATGTTTGTAAGTAAGGTATATGCCCTTAACAATTTTATAATGAAATACAGCCTATATTTGCTTTGAAGATTATGAACATTAATTAATTGAGCGAAATATTTGTTAAAATAAAAAACATACCATACATAAATGCGTGCGTGGCATTATTTAACTTGAACACACAAACATATTAGCTCATTCATAATTCATTTTGTTCGTTTTGTTAAAGAAAAACATAAATAATTCGCTGGTTACGGTCAATCAGACATGTAATGAAATGTACCTGAAAAGTAGTAAGGTATTTATGCAAACTCAAAAAAATGTAACATATACATACATATATTTTGGATCAACATCATAAGACAAGTCGACTTAACCCCGCCTATCTTTCCATCTGTTGTCTGTTGTCTGTATACAAATACATGGATCTTAGAGACTTTAAGACTTAGGGACACCAAATTTTTTACATTTTGCCTTACGTAGTACTTAACTTTCCTTTAACTTTAGTTATGGTCCGCATCGTAACTAAACTCGCTGCTTTTATGTTTTTAAATGTATTGTAAAATATTAGTCCATGTGCAACCTATTATTCCAATCGTTTTCTAATAAATATACTGGCTTCTTATACTGTTAAATGTATATCTGCTGGTGATTTTGTAGCTGATCCCAATTCAATACGAGTCTAAGCTCTCGCACACATTCGCTTCATAATATGAGATTTGATTTGTTCTGCATCCATTCTAAGTATCCCAACATCATAAATGTTGCAGCCTATTTGTACATGGGCACATACTTATGTAGTACATATAGAGAAAAGACTGTATGTGAAATTCATCAACCGACCTCATATCTCAACCACATATGGGAGGCTGTACAAATGTTTCCGTTCTTTAATATTTTATAACATATTGCAGCCGCACTCAAGCTCTTTTAATTAAAGTATATTTATAACTTAGACAGTGCCACCTTCGAACCCACCGAACCCTACACTCAGAGATGCAGAGGAGAGCAGAGCTTAGCTGATTTGCTGTCTTGCTGTGTGAGAAATCATTTAAAATGCTGCTGGCGTACATATTTGTTATAATTTATGGTGCCCATATAAATGACTAACAGCACAAGACACAAGGCTGGCAACGTGCGTCGCACACCATGGGCCCAGGGATGAAGGGAGTACGACGAGAGGGGGCCGGGAACAGGAAAGACAAGCTAAAGAATGGCAAAACATGTGCCGAAGTATGCGCGCGTGTGGATCTTTAAAAACCGAACAGCAACAAAAAGGAAAGTTGAAGGAAACGAAACGTGCCAGCATCAAAGTTCAATACGACTCCGACTCCAACTCCAACTGCCGACTATGGTGGATGACACTATATGTATGGGAGGAAGAAGCATTGGCAGGAGCTATTGAAGGAGCATAAGGAGCAGCAGGAGCTACCGTAAAATGGCAGCAAAGCGCTACCAAAGAGCTAACGAGTGCAAATTTCTATTGAATTGTTGTTCTCATGTCGCTATGCTTTTGCTTTTACTTTTACGCCAAACTACGTATACGAGTATATGGATATGGATTCAGCGCGACACACACAGAGAGAGAAAAAACTCAATAAACGATAAACAGGAAAACGGAAATCGGAAACTGTATACGTTCATGTTTCTAGTCTGTGCCACGTTTTATACTCACAGACACACACACACACACACATTCAGTGTATGGCGGCGACGCACACACAGAAAAGCACAGTGTTTCGAGAGTTCGGCGTGCTTTTATGATATATTGACTTGCTGGGTTTTATCGCAGCGCGTTGCCAACATCACAAAACGTCGCTGCGTCAGCGTCACCGTCAGCATCAGGCTTTTAGTTTGCCGCACTAATTTTATTTTATTTTTTGTTGTGCTCTGCAGTGGACGACAGTTGTTGTTGTTCTTATTGCTTTTGATGGTGAGACACACACAGACACATAGAGGCTCACTGTATCCCTCTTCCTGTCCCTCTCTCTCTCTCTCTCTCTCTGTCTTAAATTGTATTTATATGTCTATTTTCGGTCAGCCCATAAATAAATTTTCATTAAACTATACGACAGTAGTGGCCGTTGGCAACTACAACACAAGCAACTACAGTAGCAGCAGCAACAACAACAACAAAAAAGTCCCTAAATAACTGTGGAAATTGGCTTTAAAAATATTTTGCACGATTTTAATAACGCTTCTCAAGTGGAGCCCAATAAATCTTTATACATACTTGTATGTATATTTATTAATACTCATACGCCCCGTTGCACTTTGTCCGGTGCTGTGCATGCAATTGTGCTTCATTTCAACTAATCTGATCATGTACGATATAATCAAAAACAATAAAATAAATAAATGATGGAATGGTGTTTGAAATTCAATTTAAGCCACTTTTGCCTTTATGTGGTTATGGAATTTTGATTTTAATTAAGTGCAGATAAATAAGCAACAGTGTCCTACAATTCACCAAAATCTATATCTAAACTCAAATCCAGTATTAATTAATTTTGTTAATATTCGCGATATATTTGCACACTAACTTATGAGCAAATTGTTAAGGGAAGGGAACATCCGATATATTGCATTAATATTCTATATATATTCGATAAATTCTACTTTGAAAGTATTTTAAATCAAATGTTTGCTGCTTGAGATAAACATTTAAAATCACTGCATCTAACTAAAATTTGTTCGAAGTGAGCAAAAAACGGAAAGCGACAATATTCACAGAAAAAGTGAATCAACGAAAATACGTGTATTTTTCTATTTTAAAATTCGAATATATTGATAGTTGAAGAAATTGTCGGACAAAATGAAATAATTAATTTTTTGTTGTATGATAACAAAAGACGAACTTACGACTTCGTTACGTAGTTTGGTGTAGAAAATTTAGGTGTAACTACTTTTACGTTTCAATGGAATTCGATTACAACTTGTTACAAATTAATCAATTACTTGACTGAACCATTCCGCCGCTCTTCATAAACCTACTGCTGACAGAAATGAAAGAAATCAAGGCAGTTATAATAGCATAGCATAGCATCTATGTATTGACTAAACCAAATATTGAAAGGCTAAACAAGTAAAATGTTAGAGTACAAACTGTTCCCAATTTCGTCAATAATTTAAATAATTTCGATTACATACAGTGAGATATAACTAACTGGAATGAAATGCTAGAGTCGAGTTGGCTCAACTCTTAAATACCTTATACCCACCCTCACAAAAACGAAAATTTATTTTAAAAGTCTTTTAGTACGTGTTTTTGTACTCTTTACCTCAATTGCACAAGAGTATAGGAGGAGATTTAATAGATCAAAACTATTTTGGTTTAAATTTATAATTTCGCTACCTTTTTTAAATTGTATTATTTTTTAATAACTTCCGTAATAATTGTACACATTGGCAGAGAGTATTTCAAATTCGGAGCACCCAACTTTAGCTTTACCATTTGTTAATTATATGGCTTGAGATAGACTTCGCCATGATAGAACAAGTCCTCACGCGTCCTTTGGTACCATTCTCTTCTATAAAAAAAGGTATCGAAACCTATATGAATGGACATGTATATTCATGTTAGGCGCTATCACGTACCACTCAGCGACTGCTCATCCTTTCATGTACACTTGATACAAAAAAACTGTAAAAGTCTAGATATTTTAAAGTCTTAATTCAACTATAGTGTACTGCGTTCAGTTGTAAAATTGTAAATGTCTGAATAGATTTAAAAGTTGTGTTGTCTGCTGTGCACAAGTGTTTGTGAAAACTTTTACTGCATTAGCTAATACGATCGTACTAACAGCTATGGCGAACGCGTCGTATACGTAACCTTCCTGCCTGCGTACGTTGTGCCACTTCTGCTATTGAACCATTGGCAGGCAGACATGAAAAAAAAAATAAAGCAGCCGACATGCACTTCAATTTACAAACTTTCAGCACTATCTTTGCATGTGTGCATTTGTGTGGGTGTTTGTGTGAGGTGTGTGAGTGCGATTGAGTTACATGGCTGGAATGTGTGTCGACGTTTTTCCATTTCCGGCACACGGTTTACTTGTTTTTTAATGTAATGAAGTGTGTTTGCATTAAAATGCAATTTGAAGTGCAAAGTTACAATATTATTATGGCATGTTGAAAGGCTGTATGCGTGCATTTGTTTGTGTTTCTGTGGGTGGTGGGTGTGGGTGTGGGTGCGAGTGTGGTGTTGTTGTGTGTTTGCACCATCAAGTGTTCCAGCTTAAGTGTGCTCGAGTTTAGTTGGGTATGCAGGTATGTGCTCGTAGGTGCGCCCAAGTGCCACTGCTAACGGCAACGATGCCATTTTTTATGGTTTATGTGCGCTAAGTGACCCTATAAAAAGCCATGCATGGCTGCCTCAGTATTTAAGTGCGGGCGCCGCAACATTTTTATGAATACTAAAAAGAAACATGAAACATCAGTCCACCCAGATTCTCCTCCTTCATACAACATCTGCAGCAAACGGCACTAGGGGCACTTCGGGAACAACATTTACAGATGTTGCTAATTGTGTTGCCTACTTATGTGCGTAAGACGAAGCTTAACATACAAGTATTTACTCGTATTTGCATTGAATGCATACGTATACAATGGAGCAATGTGGAACTATTTGCAAGGTCAGATTTTAACACCCTGACCACACACACACACATGTTCGTGCACACACATTAGCTTGCGGTTGTCCTTTAATGGCGCATTAGTTTGGAAATTGTCAGCACTGTACCAAGGGCATTGACTGCCATTTCTCCTAAAGCATGTTCACCACGAATGTTAGAGGTAATTTTCGAATGTTTTAATTTCAACAAAATAATCATTTAAAGCCCATTAATATTATTTAAAGGTCTTATCATTACAGAAAAAACTTTAACCTACCCAAAACGAAATGATCGACACTTTGTTCGTTTGTTTTTCCAACTCTCTGAACTCTCAGCCTCGTTTTTATTTTTCAAATACAATAGCTTCTGCCTCAAAGCGTATGGACACAATTTCTAAGAAAAGATGAAGTTGAAATGTTGATTTGAGTATTTATAAAGTCCCAATTTAGACCAGCACTTTTTCTATCGATGTTTTTCCTATTTATGCGAAAAAACTAACTGTCTTACATTAATCTTTTCTGTTAAGGACGGCAGAATTGCTTACCACTTATTTCTAAAAAAAAAAAACTCATTTTGACGAAAAAAGTGTAGTAAATTCATTAAATAT